TTAGATAAGTCCCTTTAACATTTCATATAATAAGGGCTTGGTGATGATGAACTCCTTGAATTTGATCTTATCTGAGAAGCACCTTATCTGTCCTTCCATTTTAAATGAAAGTTTTGCTGGATAGAGCAATCTTGGTTGTAGGTCTTTGGATTTCATGACTTGGAATACCTCTTTCCAGCCCCTTCTTGCCTGTAAGGTCTCTTTTGAGAAATCAGCTGATAGTCTGATGGGGACTCCTTTGTAGGTGACTGTCCCCTTAGCTCTTGCTGCTTCTAGGATTCTCTCCTTCATTTTTATCTTGGCTAATGTAATTACGATGTGCCTTGGTGTGTTCCTTCTTGGGTCCAACTTCTTTGGTACTCTCTGAGCTTCCTGGATTTCCTGGAAGTCTATTTCCTTTGCCAGATTGTGGAAATTCTCCTTTATTATTTGTTCAAATAAGTTTTCCACTGGTGGCTGTGCCTTTCCCCCTTCTGGTACCCCTATAATTCGGATGTTGGAGCGTTTAAAGATGTCCTGGAGGTTCCTAAGACTCTCCTCATTTCTTTGAATTCTTGCTTCTTGACTCTTTTCTGTTTGGCCATTATTTGCTTTCTTCTGGTCCACTCCATTGATTTGAGTCCCAGTTTCCTTTTCATTGCTATTGGTTTCCTGTGCAATTCCATTCATTTCAATTAGTTTTGCCTTCATATATTTGTCTAATTTGTCTGTATAATCCACCAGTTCTGTGAGGATCTTGATAACCAATGTTTTAAACTGTGCGTTTGTGAGATTTGCTATTTCTTCATCGCTTAGATTTATTTCTGGGGCTCTGAGATCCTCCTGCGCCATTCTTGGTCTGTTCGGGCCCTTTAAGAAGTGGTGCCTTGGATTCCCAGGTCGCTGGGTTGTGACGCTGTATGTGGGGGCGTGGCCCGAGCGGGGAAATGGCGACCCCCTCTGCCGCTTCTCACAGCTGGGTGCGGAGGAGCAGTGCCTTAGGTGGTTCACCTGGGCCGGGCCGCTCAGAGTCGCTCAGAGTCGCTGGGTTATGACGCTGTATGTGGAGGTGGGGTCAGAGCAGGGAAATGGCGGCGCCCTCCAATGCCGCTTGCCGTGGGGACCTGCCGGCCCGGTCCAATCGCCCACTCCCTCGCCTGTCCACCCGCGCACAAATGCGCGACCTCAGTCAACACGCAGCCCCGGCCCGGCTGTCTCCCCCGAGGTCGCTCGCCTGGTTGCTCGCGCGGTTGCTCACTGGGTCCAACCCTGCGCCTGGATTCCGCACCTGAGCCCGTCTGACCGAGTTTTCCTGTGCAACCCCTGCTCCGCCAGCCGCTGGTTTCGCCCCTTACCGGTCAGGCTGAAGAATTTGTTGTTAACGGACTTCCAAAAAGTTCAATTTTCTGTGTTCTGGCTGTGTTTTCTGTTGCTAATATTTAGTTTTCTCTAATCTTGGTTGTGTGAGAAGGCACGGCACATCCACCTATGCCTCCATCTTGGCGGAAGTCTTCCTGTCTTTTTCTTTTTGAATTATAAGAGTGGACGTAGTCTGGATAGAAGTCATATATCAAATACATGTTTTGCGAACATTTTCTCCCAGCCTGTGACTTACCATGCCATTGCATTATGAAAAAGGAAAGTTTTAAATACTTTCTGATACTAAAATATATTTTTGAATTATGGATTTGTATGTCATTATTTTAGTATAACTGTCATAAGTAAGCGTAAAAGCTAATGCACATTAAATGTCTTAATATGATGAAATTAACTACTGTTAATTTATCAATTGAGTTGATTGCAATATGATGACAATAATAGTAACAAAACAGGTAGCTAATGCCTTCTGAGCACTTGCTATGTGCCAGGCAGTGATTACATACTTTAACTTGTGTGGACTGATTTCACCCGTTCAACAACCAGGTCCGTTTTTCTCTCCTGTTGGACATGAGGAAACTGAGGCACAGAGACAGAGGCAGCCTGCTCAGGGTTAGACAGCTAGACGTGTTTAGTTTTATTTATTTTACTGTTTTGAAAGATTGTTTTTTTAAATTTATTTTACATAGTTGACATACAGTATTATATTAGTTCCACGCATGCATAGCTGGGGTTATTTTTAACTCTGTGCCCTCCACCTGCCCTCAGGGCCTTTGGTTCATCAGCGGTGGCCTGAAAATGCAAAAGTGCTCCAAAGCCACAGTAAACCCAAACTGCGTGAAATAGTATTTGCTTTTTCTGAAAATGCTAATTATCTACCCCATTGTGTTCTAAGCATTTGGATTTAAGTGCAAATGTGTCAGAATGGAGGTGGGCCTTGAGAGCATGTTGTATGTATTTTGAAATAAATAAACACGGCCTATGTACCGTGGTCACCCCCGATCTGTGGGGCACATGTCCCAAGACCCCCAGTGGGTGTCTGAAACTGTGCATAATACTGAACCCTGTGTATAGTATGTCTTTTTCCTATACACACACACCTTGTCACTTAAAGGAAGCCCTTTACGGTTTGTCTTTGCTGCATACAAACTGCCAGCATCACTGGCCTTGTGCTTTGTGCGTAAGTAAAACGAGTGCTACTTGGACGCAGGCCCTGCGCTAGGCCTCCACAGTCATCTGCTGACCCAGACGGCTGCTGAGTGGCCCACTGATGGGGAGCACACGTGGTGAGGGGACGCTGGGCAAAGGGGTGGTCCACAACCAGGCCGGGCCGAGCGGAAAGGCCTGTGACACCATCACATCGCTCAGACCAGCGTGAAGTTTGAATTTAGGAATTATTCCTTTCTGGGATTTTTCATTAAATATTTTTGGACTGTGGTTAATTGTAGGTAACCGGAACTGCCGAAAGCAAAACTGCAGACCCAGGGGCCTACTGTATTTGCTCATTTCAGAGGAAGGAGAAGAGCATTAAAATAATAAACAACACATAAATGATGAAACACAAGTAGAATGAGTATCAAGGAAGCTTGAAAGTAGGTTTAAGATAAGAGAAAGTTTTTTTTAAAGAATGAAACACAAACTGTGATTGAAAAATTACAATAATAATAATGATAATAATAATAAAGCACCAGAGAAAGAAGCAAAAATCTTCTAAGTTCTCATCCTTTTCTCAGAAGGAATCTCACAGTTAAAGCTGTGAAAAGGGACCAGTCCAATCAGTAAATAGTTTAATTTGTTTAAAAAGGGGGCCAGTAGCTCTCCGTGATAAGCCAGGGTGCTCTGGAGCCTAACCCCTCTGTCAGCCACACAACCTCACTCGAGTTACTTAACCCCACCGAGTTGCTGTGGGAATTAAATGACTTAATACCTTTAAAGCACTTGGCTGAGCGCCTGGCATATAGTAATCCCTGAATAAACACTGGCTATTTTAATATACTTTTAATGCAAGGTGAAAATGGAACTACCTCAGTACGGCAAGTATGAAAAACCGTGGACTCTGAGGTCGACATGCTGGAGTTTGTCTCCAGGTCAATTCCTGAAAGCAGTGTGCTGAACAAGCAGTTCACTTAATTATCGAGCATCGCCATCTAAGCTCCGGAAATGGTCCTTGCCCTGCTCTGCCCTCCTCCCACCTCGGCAGTCGGCTCAGCGATGGCCTTTCATGAAGCAACTTTTGGTGACTTGACCTGCAGATAATTGAATTTTCTGCTAATCAGTGAATTGGCAAATTGGCCTGCTTACCCTGAGTTGGAATCTCTACTTGGTCACTTATTTCAGCTTCGTAACCTTGGTCAAATTATGAAATTTCTCTGAGCCTCAGTTTCCTCTTCTCTAAAAGCAGAAATCATGACTCTGATGTCTGTGAGATAGGGGCAAAGGTTAAGTGAAGGCCCTGGGTGAAATTGCCAAGAGCAAGAAAAGGACTTAGTGAAGACTTTGTATGCAAACGATACTACTTAAAAGTTGTTCCTCCCTGAATACTGCCTCCTCTACACCTAATTTGCATCAATTAATAAATTGCTCTGACACCCATGATCTTTGTTGATTATGGAAGGATACATTTAAACCCAGTCCCAGAACATGGCCTTCCCCATGGGGTTTTGTCCCCAGCCAGAATAGTCTTGACATCATTCACTGAGTACCGCTCTCAGCCCAAATGATGCACTGAGATTGGCCATTGTGGGAAAACCGGGATCTGACCATGTCACTTCTCTGCTCAGAATCCTTCCTCCAAAGCCTTCGTTCGTACCCTCTGAGCTTCTCACTCAGCATCTGGTTTGATCCTATGCGTCTCTTGTCCCCTAGCCGCTTTACTAGCTTGGTTGTCCCCACTTCCCCAGGTGTGCCAGGCACTGTTCTGCATGCTGTAGTGACATGTATTAACTCACTCCGTTAACTAACGTTATCTCATATCCCCATAAGGTTTGGACAGGTTAAGTGGCTCACCTAAGGCACACACATGAAGTGTTGGAACCGAGATTCAAAGCCATACGGTCTGGCGCCAGGGTCTAAGCCCTTCACCACTGCGTCATGCTGCCTCGGAGCAGATGTGTGGGGGAGGCTGGGAGGCCCACTATGTGGTGCCGACTGATGTCACCTACATATGAATTTCTTGGGAAATTTATGTTTATTAATTTGTGCCATTCACTATTGTTAGACTGAAGGAGTATTATTACGTGGAATCTTCAGATGTGCTTTTTTCTTTTCCAAATCCAAGATGTAGAATGTGACTGTGAGTAACTGGTAATAAACTTAATTGAGAAGAAACTTCAGGATGGATATTTTTCCCCTAAAGTTTTCTATTCAGTCCTATAGTGACCAAAGGGACAAAAAATCCCAACTATGCATTCTCTGCTCAAAGTAACTAAGAACCTACCAGTTGCGGTCGGTTACCTGAGTTCTTGAGGATCACTCACACAAATGGCATTTTAATTACACGTGGTGTGTGTGAAATGTGAGAAGACAGAGCGGGCGGAGGGCAGAGGGGGCGGGCAGAGGGCAGAGGTCAGAGGTCTGCAGCGCCCAGAGTTCAGTGAGACCCTGACGGCTCACCCCACCCCCTTCCCCTGTTGTGTTTGTCACAGCTTTGCCCCCTTTCCCCTTCTTGAAGATGGAAAAGATGCTGGTGGGCTGCCTCCTGCTGATGCTCGGACAGACCCTCCTCCTTCCGGCCAAGGCCAGGGAAAGGCCACCCTCGAGGTCCATCTCCAGAGGCAGACACGCTCGGACCCACCCCCAGACGGCCCTCCTGGGTGAGTGATGCAGGTACCGCCTGCAGAAGCAGGCTGGAATGGGTGGTTAAGGGTGGGTCTCCAGGCCAGGTTGGGGGGGGGGGTTGGACACCAATTGCTGAAGCTCTCCTGTCCCTGGGTCCCCTGGTGGGTGTGCTGGGGGAGAGGGGATCTCGCTGGCAATGAGCACATCCTGAGTTGAGGAAGGGGTTGTACACAGGCTTTCAAAATGATATGAAATTCTCTTGGAAAATCTCTTTTATTTCCAAGCCTTCCATTTAATTGGATGACTTTTCTCTCATGTGCAAGGGCAAGATTTTCCATCTGAGAAGGTCATTGTTGGAATTCTCTGGACAAGTGTATTATGGAAATTTTTTATGGTGTTTGTCCAGTTAATCTGTGTTAATAATACTCCCCGGCCTGGCAGCATGGGAAGCAAGCAGAGGGTTTGTGGCAGGTGGAATCAGGCACAGAAGACAGGTGGGGACCTTGTGAGCTGGGTCAAGATGCCAGGAACACAAAAGGCCAGGGGGTATTGATTCTGATTCAGTGAACACGTTTTCTTCAGGTGAATTTTTTTCTTTCTTTGAGAAAAAGGAAAGTTCATGAAAACACAGAGTATAGATAAATTGTCCAGGTTGCAAATGTGGGCTCTGGTAGGCCCAGGATGTGGGGGGAATAGGAAGGTCGGCCATTGGAAGAAAGTAAGTCCTGGCTCTGCTACCAACCAGATATGTACACTTAGGCGGTGTGGTCTCTTTGAGGTTCAGTTTTCTCATCCGTAAAATGGGAATGTTAATGCCGTCCTTGGGAGATTTTTGTGAGGAGAAATGAGGTGATATCTGTAAACTGTAGCTATGCAATGAATGGTAGCTTTACCATGACTATCATTCCATGAAGTCAGTTTCTGGAACTGTTTTACATTTGCATGTTGTTGGCCAGCCTCTCGAGTCTACGAAGGCCACTAAGAGAACTAACTGCCCAGTGGCCTGGTAGCCTCAGCATCCAAAGTGACAGAGACCAAAGGGACCCATGAGCCCTGTTTTAAGAAGCCCGATCTTTACTGATGTGAAGCTAAATGATGACCCCGTGCTCCTGGGCCTTCCATGTCTTTAGTCTCCTGAGCTTCCCCATTTCTGTGCTGATGTAAACCTGAGACTTCTGCAACTGAGAAAAGGACTGGGGGACTTTTAGGATGCTGGTTAAAGGTTTTTTTTTTAAAAACAAGTTTCAAGATGATAAACATGTATAAATGTACAGAGAGAACTGGAAATACTTGATTTCTGGATAAACAGCAGCAATTGCATAGTTGTGTTTCTGATGGGGCTGCTTTCAGAATGAGCAATCACACACTGAGCCAGGAAAGCCTATTCCTTCTCTTGGCTCAAAATGAATGAGTGAATGAATCAATCAATGAATCCATCAATCAATCTTTCTTTGTTGCATGCGTACACACACACACCCCACTCCTGGGCCGCCCCCAGTTGGCAGCATTCACTGCCCTCCTGGGCCCTGAGCTCAGGCTCCCAAGTGGAGACCCCTACTTCTGAGGTAAGGGATAGCAGCTGTTTTGCCAAAGGCATGAACCCCACATCCAGTATTACCTCCTGGTTTTCATTTTGCCAGAGAATGTTCCAAGGACAGAGAATAGGATGGAACATGGCACATGTCCCACTCCAGGGACTGGCAAATGGCCACTTCCTGACATGCTGGCGGGCTGCTTGACTTAGGAACATAGCTGAGTGAGTGAGAATCCTGAAACTGGAAGGCAGACATCGCAGCAACCTTGGCCTCGATGCTCAGGAGGCCAAGAATGTGATCTGCTTTCGGTCTGTCTTGGACAGGGAATGGAGACGGAGAAGCCGTGCCCTCTGTAGTCGCTGCCCTGAGTTTGAATGACGTTCTCTTCATTTTTGGAATATGGTGTCTTGTGTTTCCTGGGTGTTTGCTGTTCTCAGCCTCTTGTTTTCTGTGCTCAGAGCATCACTCGGGCCACGTGGTGCTTTTCCTGGGGCTGTACTTGTGATGTCTGGCCACATAAAGCATTTCACTAGTTACTTCATTACAAAGGTGTCTCTGAAAGTTTAAGAGTAGAAAAGAAGTTGTTTCTTAGGTTATTTTTTGTTTGAATTATCTGATTTTTTTGGTAGAAAGTTTATCATTTATGACTGAATTCAGGTCTGACTTCCAGTAATAACTTGAGTCCATTAAAAAAATGTAGTACGTTCCTCTGCGTCTCCTGTGAATGAATGACTGCAGGCTCCTCGGGCAACAGCCTGGGACTCGGGGCCACAGGGGCCGGTCTCTTACTTCACTCTTTTACCTGTAGTTTCTGCGTGTGCCAGACATGAGGGCTTTAAGGACAACAGCCACAACCAGGAAGCGCCCGTGTTGTGGGGGAGACAGACATTTTTAAAAATCGTTCACTTGGTGCAACCTGTGCACAGCAGGATGGGCAAGCTAAGTGACAGTCCGCTCTGCCTGCCGCAGGCTCGCAGGCTCAGTGTGAGGCTGTGGTTCTCAGACTCTCCGTCTCAGAGTTTGTTACACCGAAGAGTTACCGAGCATCCCCAGGGGCTTTCGTCGAGGTGGGTTAGAGTTGGATTGGTCAAGAGTTCCTGGATCAGAAACAGACACAGAGAAGTTTTAAAAATATATATATATATATTTAAGTTTATTTAATTGTTGTTCAAGTACGGTTTTCTGTCTTTTACTCCCATCCCAGCCCACCCCCCCAGTGCTCCTCACCTCTTTCCCATTTCCCCCCACCTTAGTTTTTGTCCATGTGTCCTTTATACTTGTTCCTGTGAATCCTTCCCCTTTTGTTTTAAAAATATTAATTAATTATCCGCCAAGATGGAGGCGTAGGTGGAAACACTTTGCTTCCTCGCACAACCAAATCTAAAAACAATAAAGTTTTAACAACAATAAATGCAACCAAACCACAGAAAATTGAACAATACAGAGTCCGAAAATAACGAAATGCTCAGCTAAACTGGTGAGAGGGGCAAAGCCAGCAGTGGAGCGGGTTGGGCAAAAACGACCCCCCGACCTGGGCGGCCCGCAAGCAGGATCCCAGGTGTGGGCTAGCAATGGGAAGGTGCAGCGCGGCTGGCTGTCTGAGGTCACGCATTTGCGCGCAGATAAACCAGTGAAGAGACGAGCATTGAGACAGACGGCGCAGGGCAGTGGGCTGGCACATTTGTGCTCAGATAAACAGGCAGGGGCGAGCGGTGGGACAGACTGGGCGAGCAGAGAGGACCACCATTGCTCCCTCTCTGACCCCACTCCCACATACAGCATCACAAACCAGCAACCTGAGTGGCTCCGCCCTGGTGTACAACTAAGGCTCCGCTCCTCATACATAACAGATATGAACAGATCAAAACGTAGCTCAAGAACAACTCAGAGCTCCAGAGCCGATAAATCTAAGTGATGAAGAAATAGCAAAACTTTCAGATGCACAGTTTAAAACACTGGTGATCAGGATGCTCACAGAACTGGTTGATTTTAGTCACAAATTAGACGAACATATGGAAGGCTAAACTAATTGAAATGAAGGGAAATACACAGGACACCAATAGCAATGGAAAGGAAACTGGGACTCAAATCAAAGGAGTGGACCAGAAAGAGGAAATAATGGCCAAACAGAAAAGAATGAAGAAACAAGAATTCAGAGAAATGAGGAGAGTCTTAGGAACCTCCAGGACATCTTTAAACGCTCCAACATCCGAATTATAGGGGTACCAGAAGGGGGAAAGGAACCGCCACCAGTGGAAAACTTATTTGAACAAATAATAAAGGAGAATTTCCCCAATCTGGCAAAGGAAATAGACTTACAGGAAATCCAGGAAGCTCAGAGAGTCCCAAAGAAGTTGGACCCAAGAAGGAACACGCTAAGGCACATCATAATTATATTAGTCAAGATTAAAAATGAAAGAATCCTAGAAGCAGCAAGAGCTAAGGGGACAGTCACCTACAAAGGAGTTCCCATAAGACTGTCAGTGGATTTCTCAAAAGAGACCTTACAGGCAAGAAGGGGCTGGAAAGAAGTATTACAAGTCATGAAAACCAAAGACCTGCAACCAAGATTACTCTATCCAGCAAAGCTTTCATTTAAAATGGAAGGACAGTTAAAGTGCTTCTAGATAAGATCAAATTCAAGGAGTTCATCATCACCAAGCCCTTATTATATGAAATGTTAAAGGGACTTACCTAAGAAAAAGAAGATAAAAAAGATGAACAGTGAAAGGACAGCAAACTCACAGTTATTAACAACCACACCTAAAACAAAAGCAAATTAAGAAGACAGCTAGATCAGGAGTGAACAAATGAAGATCACGTGGAGGGTTAGCAACAGGGGAGTGGGAGAAGGAGAAGGGGGGAGAAGGTACAGAAAATAAGTAGCATAGACAGTAGATAAAAAATAGATGGGGGGGTAAGAATAGTAGGGGAAATATAGAATCTAAAGAACTTGAGACACGTGGTCATAAATGAAAGGGGGGAATGGTGGGGGAGGGGTGTACAGAAGGGAGGGGAATGAAGGGAGGAAATAGAACAAATGTAATGGCATAATCAATAAAATAAAAAATATATTAAAAAATAAGAAATTTTAAAAAATTAATCAATTTATTAAAAAATAACAAGAATAAACCCATAACACATCTTATAACAGAAATAAGATACTTTTCTAAAATACGGTATTTTCTAAACTTAAAAATTAATGCAAAGAACAGCACTGTTCTTCGCTTTTGCCAGTCTGCTTAGCGTCTGGCTTCATGGAAGCTAACTGGGTCCTCGCTCCTCCCCTGTTCCACTGGCCAGGAGGTGTTGCTTTCACTGGACTCCACGAGGAAGATATGGCCCCACACAGATACGTGTTAAGAAGGAAGAGGAGAATTACAATATTTTTTCATATAATTATGAGTATTCTTGTTTGATAGTCACTAAAACTTGACAAATGGTATAGTTTCTTAAAGGTTAGTTGCAACGTGGAATCTAAAACCACATCATCAAAGTTT